TAGCCAGGAGGATTGGGTAGGGGGGCGGAGGGAGGGTCAGAAGGGATGGGAAGGGGAAACAAAAGAGGAGGCTACAATGCTTGATAAGAAATGTACTCATTATCTTGCCCATGTAATTGTAACTCCTCTGTACAGTATTTTCACAATAATAAAAAAAAAAGTCCCTGGGTTGTTACACTTTCTGATAATGTCTCAATTCAAGTACTTCTACGTGGAGTTCCATACTATTCAATGATGCTGTATTAGCTCCTTGTTATAATTTGCAGACCGGTCTTGGTGATGAAATTTGTGCTTTTCAAAATTGCTGTCCCAATTCCACCCACAAACTGCAGACAAAAATTATTTGAAAATTTTTGTATCCGTTGATAGTGCATATACTATTATTTTTCATTACAAACATAGAATGCAGTAAAAATTATCATAGCAATTACACTGCACTAGCTTGTGGGCAAATTCTAATGTAAATAATTTACTGTGTTCATGTAGAGAATTTGAGTATCCAAAGTTTTAATATACCTCTATTCCTAAAACAAATACCTTACTGATGTTGAGTGACAAATACAACTTCTTTTTTTATTTTTTATTTTTATTTTTTGCGAACACACTGTACAGAGGGGTTACAATTACATGGGCAAGATAATGAGTACATTTGTTATCAACCATTGCAGCCTCCTCCTTTGTTTACGCTTCACATCTCTTCCCAGCCTCCCCCCACCCCCTACAACTTCTTATAAGTAAAGAAGTTTTCCTTCTATCTATCTATCTATCTATCTATCTATCTATCTATCTATCTATCTATCTATCTATCTATCTATCTATCTATCTATCTATCTATCTATCTATCTATCTATCTATCTATCTATCTATCTATCTATCTATCTAATCTATGTGTGTGTGTGTGTATACATAAAATATAATGTACTGAGGGGTTACAGTTACATAAGTAAAGTAATGCGTACATTTCTTTCTTTTTATTGTGAAAATACTGTATAGAGGAGTTACAATGACATGAGCAAGACAATGAGTACATTTTTTATCAAGCATTGTTGCCCCCTTCTTTGTTTCCCCTTCCTATCCCTTCCCATACCCTCCCACGCCCCCCCCACCTGATCCTCCCCCCCCCATCCCTACCAAAGTTGTAAAGTTCGTTTTTTGACATAAAGACTTGTATATCTCATTGTTGCAATGGGTCCAACTGTATCCTTATTTAAACGATTTTTTTTCCCTTCCCCTCCACAAATTATACCAACATCAAGTACAATGAAAGCAGGGTTTATACCATGGGAGAAGGACATACAAAGCAACAAAGAAATCATCTTAAAAATATGTTACAAACAATCCCGTGAAAGAAAAAAAACATTTAAATACTTATCTTGGGGTTCATTTCCCTAACATCAACTTACCTGACCTTTTCTGTTTGACTCAGACATATACTTATTATTGCAAACAAGATCACACTACAGCTACCAACACAACTATATTTATTGCAGCATTATTTACCATAGCTAAGATATAAGCACATTTTTCTTGAGCACTATTACCCCCTCCTTTGTTTTTCCCCTACCATCCCTTCCCTTCACACCTCCCCACCTCCTCCCTTCACCCCCCCGCCCCAGCTGATAAAGTGTCTTGTACATCTCATTGTTACAATGGGTCAACCTGTATTCTTTCCTTATATCTTAATTGAAGTAACGCTAGCTTGATTTATGCTGATTCTACTTGTGTAGACACACCTAAAATCACTCACCAATCCAAGAGCACATAAATGAAACATCATTCTTTGTCAGTTCTTACAATTTTGTTCTACACATTTATTGACAGGTTACAAATTATTCTCAAACTTTAATACATTAAAAATACTTTCTTATTTTCTTGACCAGGAAATCAGCAAGACCTCAGTCAGCATTTCTCACATAGGACTTTTCACGTAGGTTGGTTAAATATATATATAGAATCCAGTCTTCTGAGGACTCACTCTTTTGCTTAGGAATTGTTGCTGCCTGTTGGAAAAGAGCTCAAGGAAGCATGCCACTTAAAGCCCTATAACTTTATTCTTTACCAGGGTATTCTCCTGCTGCTTTGGTTGTGGAGCGTGTCTACCAGAGCAAACATTCCATGAGGAGCAGGGAGACACCATATGACTTATACTTACTGAGATTTCCGAGTGACTTGCTATCACTTGTACTGCATTTTATCAGTCAAATCTCTCTATAACCACTCGATTTAAGAGATAAGAGGAGTGGTAAAGAAATCTTGGGGACAAATACATCTTCAGCATATATTGTTCCAAGCATTCCGTGTAAGGCATATTCAACAACTAGTGAAACTTGTGTTGACTGTAACTATGTGTCTTTCTCCATGTGTGCATGTATACATGTGTATATGTATGTTTGTGAATAGTAACATACATGTGTACACATATAAGAGCATACACACACATATATGCATATATAAATAAATATACAAATATAAATATATGTGCATATATCAGTTGTTCAGTGTTTTACTCTATAGTTACCAGCACATTGTCATTCTCACAAAGTGTACAAGATAAATTGCTCTGAGGATCTGTGCTGTATGATGTGCATCCGTTGTACTCACTTCCCCCATTCCTTTGTTTTTCATCCCTGTGAACAATTTCTGTCTACTTTCCATAGGATAGCTTTGTTTTCATTACAGGAAGTTACTAACTGATAATAAAAGAAAAAGATTGTTTGTAAAAGAAAAAGTACTTTTAGGTTATAGGTTAAAAGTATCTTATTTATCCCAATGATTCCTATGAGATAAAATTTATATAAATAGTAGTAAAAGTGAGATCTGGTGTTTTGCCATTTAGAATCGCAAAGAATAATATCAAGTCACTTTTATAACTCTTAAAGAATGCAAAAGTAACTGATGGTCACTATCATGCTGCCACAAAACCAGTGGATCCTTAAGGATAATAGTAGACCAGCAGAAATTCTAAGTAGCAGACATGGAGCATGAATGAGAAAGAGGAAATGAGAGAGTGAAAGAGAGAGATAAATATCATAATATTTAAAGTGCATAACAGATAAACAAGAGCAGTATGAGAATATTCATATTTGATGTATGATAATCCATCAACATGAAATATAATGTCATTTTGATAAAAATAAAAATGACGCAGAAGAAATTATAAATGGAAAAACAATCTTCACAGAAACAAATTCTTAGAGATATTTCATGACTTGGGAAAGGATAAAGAGGCTGAAGTTAGTATAAATTTAGAAGTACGACAATTCACAAAAACATAAAAAGATATTCATATATTTCATTATATGACCCAAAGCAGAAAGCAAATATTGTTTAGATGATTTTTTTAAAACACAGTTTCTCAGGTATGGAGAAGGTGGCTCAGTGTTAGAGAGCTTGGCTTGCATGCATGAGGCCCTGGATTTGATTCCTCAGCACAACATAAGCAGAAAAAGATGGAAGAGGTGCTGTGCCTCAAGTAGTAGCGCAAGCCTTGAGCTGAGGGACAGAACCCAGGCCCCATGACCAACAAAATCAACAAAACAAAACAAAACAAAACACAGTTTCTCACTTTTGTGGCCTAAACTCTGCAATAATGCTGTGTCAGCCTAGGGCTAAGATTTTAGGTGTTTACATTTACCAACACTCCTGATTCAGACTCTATTTGTTCATTTTTAAATAAATATTTTGTTCTTAATTTTCTTCTTTGTAAATTCACATGCACATATAAAAAATGGTATGGACATCCCAGTAACCTTCTCAATGATGACCTCCTAATGATGACTTACAAATATTGTATTATATTACAACAAGTAAAAAATTGCTACAAATAAAGGAAACCAATAATTAAATATTAATGATTAAAAAAATAAAAAACAAACCAATTTCAGTCTTTGAAGTGTACTGCATATTAGATTTTACTATTTTCTCATATTCCTGTAAATTTAACTCTGGCTAAGTTTATTGTTGGGAGCCGACAGTAAGGCTCCAAGGTCATCTTGACCCTTGTGCTCACTTGAAGGCACGTACAAGGAACTGGCTTTCATGAAAAGCACCAGGTGCCCGGGTTTGCTTTGCTATGTCTGTAGAGTTAGTTTTATTTTCTATCAGTTGACCTTGTCTTGTTTCAATCTGCACCTTGTTTTTATTAAAATTTTCCTTCCTTTTCTGCACTATGGTGACTTTAGGTTACCTCTTGACTTCTAATAGTATATAATAAGGAGAGTTAAAAATAAACGGTGCTCTAGTCTTGAGCTGCAGACATCCCGACCCCATCCTTTGTCTTATGTCTTTATTTTTCCGTCCTTGCCCCCTAATTCAGGATTCCCTTTCGTGGCCTGCAGGCTCCGGCAGTTTATGATGTTCAAAAAGAGTTTTATAGAATATGAGTAGTCTTTAAAATTAGCCACTAAGATTACCATTTATGGCTCATCTCATCATTTGTTTATGGCATACATCATCATTTGTTTCTCGCTAACAAATAAAGTTAGGAATCCCTAAAGTTTTAAAAGAAACTGTGTAGTTAAAGTCTTAACTCTTCACTCTGCTTCTTTACACAAATACTTTGCAACTTCTCATTAATAAAGTTTCTATAAACTGAAATGTACATACTTAGTAGTGTATGTCTGCTACCATAAATCTTAAATGCTTTATAGAAAAGTTTTTACTTGCCAAACAGCCCTAATTTTGGCATATATAAGCAAATTCCCAAAATTAAATATATTTAAAACATTAAAACTTTTAACAAACCTTAACACTTGCTGCAGTGTTCATTATGACAGGTGCCTTGAATAGAATAATTGAATTCCTCCTCCTACAAATCTCTTGAACAACAAATATCTGGAATTATTTTGTTTTTGACATATCAATCTAGACTTTATACGTAAATGTGTGTTTATATAAGAAATATTTGGTTCCAAAATTTCATGACAATTGTTTTGAACTTACTTTTTGTTGAATTGTCTAGTTTAATAAAATTAATTACACTTTTTATATAAAAATGTTCTGTACTCAATTCAGCATCACATACACTAACATTGGAATGATACAGAGAAGATTATCATGACCCCTGCACAGGGATAACATGTAAATTCCTGGATCGTTCCATATGTTTACAACAACAGATGCTGGAGGGCATGTGCCTACCCTGGAATCGTAAGGCATTGTTGGTGGGAGTGTAAACTGTTCAACCACTTTGGAAAGCAGTCTGGAGGTTCCTCAAAAGACTCCACCTAAAGATCCCATATGACCCAGCAATCTTGTTTTTGGGGATTTACCCAAATGATCACAAACAAGAACATACTAATACTACCAGCACAACTATGTTTATTGCCGCATTATATACCATAGCTAAGATATGGAACCAACCCAGATGCCCCTCAGTAGATGAATGGATCAAGAAAATGTGGTAAATATACACAATGGAATTCTATGCCTCCATCAGAAAGAATGACATCGCCCCATTTGTTAGGAAATGGAAAGGCTTGGAAAAAATTATATTAAGTGAAGTAAGCCAAGCCCAAAGAAACATAGGTCCCATGGTTTCCCATATTTTCAATAACGAATATATGTCTGGGATAAGTAGAAAAGGTCAAAAGCTATGTGCATATGACCAGATACGATGATGTTAAGGGAAATAAACACCAAAATAAGGACACGAGTTTTTTTGTGTGTGTGTTTGTTTGTTTCTTGCTATTGTTTCTAACGTACTTATAATGTGCTATGTCATTTTTTGGTTTCTTTATATGTTCCTCCTCCACGCTATAACCCCTGTTTTCATTGTATTTGAAATTGGTTCCCCTACATCTTGTATGTACGCTTCTCTAATTTGGGGAGGGGAAGGGGAAAAAATGCTCAAATAAGGATACAGTTTGACCCATTGTAACAATGGGATGCACAAGACACTATGTTGAAAAATGAACTTTAAAATTTAGGTGGGGAGAAAGGGGGAAGGGAACATAATTCTGGATGTGGGAGGGAAGAGATGGTAGGGGAAATATGAAGGAGGACATAACAATGCTTATTAGGAAATGTACTAATTACCTTGCTCATTTAAATATAACCCCAATATTCAATATGAATATTGAATTGAGAGAGTAAAAGAATGGAGCAAATATGAATAAATGTGTATGTGCGTGTGACCTCATGCGTGCACCCACACACATATGCATGTGTGTTGGCGTGCTCAGAGTTTGAAATCAGGGTTTCAAGGTCTTGCTAGGCCTTTCCTCTCTAGATTGTTGAACTACAATATGAGCTACAACTCCATTGCTGGCTCTTTGCTAGTTCATTAAAAAATTTGAAAAATAATTTCATGATTTTTTTGCCCTGAATGGCTTTCAACTGTTATCCACAGATCTCAGGCTCCTGAGTAAATATCCCGAGTAGATAGGATTACAGGTGTGACCAACTAATACAAGACGTTCAGAATAATTTCCTACTTTGAAAGCCTTTAGGAGTGATTATGTGTGAATTTATTTCATTTTTGGATTCTTAAAAGAGAGTAAGGGATGATATTTAAAAGTTTCAGTACTTTTTAAAAAGGATAATGGAACTGTGGGACAGAAGAAATTTACCTCTATTTGGACCTCAATTTATCGGCTCAGCTCTGTGCATGGTAACCCAATGTCACCAACACAGTCTGTGTTGAATACAAAATGTGACAGAAAACAATCACCATGGGCAATATTTGGTATGCTATTATTTCTTGGACAATATGACTATTGAATTGAATTGAGAGAGTAAGAAAATATAGAGATTTTACCTACCTTTTTTGTATTGCTGAAAGATCTTTGGAAACTTTGACTCATTTCCTTCCTCGCCGTGTGTCTTTGGGCCATGCACTTACTGTCTTTAATTAAAATTTTTCCCAACACTAAAATGGTAATAACGTTTGTTTTATACCAAATGTTATCTTAAGAATTAAGAGACATAAAATTCATGAAATATTTAAAATAAACTTCTATGAATGAGCTTTGAGTTGAGCCAAGAATTTTTTTAAATACTAAATAGAATAAAATAAGTATTAGAGAAACCATTACATGCAGTGAGCAACCAGAAGTAATGTTATCTATTGACCATGCTCTGCTTCCAAGGAAGCCAGGTGGATAACTTCTCATGCTGTAAATCAAACTGGTTATCTTATGTTTTGGTAGTGTAAAACTATCACGGAGAGAATCATCAAAGAATGTTTTAGACTGAGATGAAGACCATATGAAGATGTGCAAACCTAATAAAACATAAAAATATCTGAATGTGTTTTACATCATTTAAGTTACATCACAAAGATAAGGAAGACCTAGAAGAATGAATTGTCTTTTTGATATTCTAACATATGTCCTTAGAAAGATGAACTCTTTCCTCATTTTTGTAGAGGCATCATAAGATGAGAGGAACTGTATTTTTTGTTTGCTTCTTTCCATTTATTCTTCATTTTGAAATCTGAACCACATGAGACAGAAAGAAACCAAGGGAAATTATTCACACAGATTTAGAAAGAACCATCAACGTAAAATAAATAAAACACATATAGCCTTGTAAAAGGTCTAACTAAATTGAGTTATAAAGTCTCAAGCATAAACAGAAAATAATTTAAGCAGTATCATGTTATTGAAATTGAAAAATGTTAGGAATTAATTTTTTTCCTTTCTACTACCTTGAATTAATTATTGATTTTGTATAGAGAGATTAAAGATGAGATTAACAAGAAACTTGATTAAAAATGGACAAAATTTCTGAATGGACATGTTTTCCAAAAAGCCCTGAATATCGCCAGTCGATTTACAAAGTTGCGTTTAATAAAACTTCTATGCTGGCTTAATGCTTTGTGAACAGAAGTCATTAGAAAAATGTAATTCAAAATTACTATGATACTACTTCATAACTATTATAACTATTACCAAAAAAACGAAGGAACCAGATGTGGTGGTAAAGGCTTGTAATTCCAAGCGTTTAGGAGTTTGGAGTAAAAGGATTTGGGTCTAAGGCCAGTCTTAGGTACTGCACACAGTAAAAACCTTCCCTTTAAAAAAACTCAAAATATAATAATGTTGTCTGGTGAGAGTATGGAGAAAAGGAAATTTTCTACACTCGTGGTCAAAATACAGGTTAGTATTCTCCTTGTAGAAAGTAGTATGCCGTTTTCTAACGAAAAGTTGAAATATCATCTGACCCACCAGTCAGGCGATTCTTTCTCTCTGGGTAACTCATAAACATATCTGTAGTTCATTGTTTTTCACATTATTCACAACAACAGCTAAGATATAAATCGAAGTTCAGTGTTCAACTACAGATTAATAAAGCAACTGTGTGCATGCACAAATATATTTTTCTGTTTCATCCTTAAAATAGCAAGAGACTTCTCCCATTAGCCAAAACTTATAATGCCTCAAAGATGTATTCTATATGAGGAAAAATGCTGTCTTCTGATTTTTGTACACACACACACACACACACACACACACACACACACACACCAACCTCAAACATTAAGAGAGAATTTTTTTAAAGTAAAGCAAAGTGGAATTTCTGGGGCATTTAGATCACAATGTAGAAGATAGTAGATATACAGGATGATGAGGAATACAGTTGTAAGGTACGACATGAGGATACAGGGGACAACACTGGTTTTACATAGGAATGAAGCTAAGTAAGTAGGAGTTGTTCTTCCTAGTAGGGTTTGCTCTTTTAAATGTTCTTCCTTCAGTAATGGATAAGAAGAACATTTTTTAAAAAATATATCTGCCTATTTGCAGAAATAATAACAAACAATATAGCAATAATGTTGGATGCTCAACATAGAATAAAATGTCAAATTAAAATACATGAGATTATCCTTGATGTTAACTAATTATTACAAATAAGGAAAACCATGGGACCTATGTTTCTTTAAGTCTGGCTTATTTCACTTACTATGATTTTTTCCCAAGAATTTCCATTTCCTTGCAAATGAGGTGGTATCTTTCTTTCTGATGGAAGCATAGTATTCCATGTGTGCGTGTGTGCATCTCATTTTCTTGATCCATTTATCTACTGAGGGGAATCTGGGTTGATTCCATATCTTACCTATGGTAAATAATACTGTGATAAACATAATTGTTCTGGTAGCTTTAGTGTGGCCTTGCTTGTGGTCACCTGGTTAAATGCCCACAAGTGGGATTACTAGGTAATAGGCGAGCATTATTGTGTATATCAAGGATAAGTTTAGTAGATGAGCAGAATAGCTCTATAGCTATGTACATTTGACCATATAACGTGATTCTAAGTGAAAAGAACTCCAAGATATGTTCTTTGTTGTTGTTGTTCTTAATGTACTATGTGATTCTGTTTCATCCTTTTGTGTTTTCTCCAACTATTGTTTATCCCCTGTAGTGGTAACTTTATCCAGCAGTGGTAACTTTTTTCCATTCCTTGAACTCTGGGCCTTGGCTCTGAACATGGTTATGCTAGTAGCTTTCATGTGAGCTTGTTTGTTATTTATTGGATTACTGCCCATGAAGAAATTACTGGGTCTTAAGGGAAATCTATATTTAGTCTTTTCAGAAAACTCCATACTGTATTCCACAGTTGTTGAGCAAATTTAATTTCCCATTAAGAGTGTAATACAGTTCCCAATTGGCTACATCCATGCCAGCATTTGCTATTGTTAGTTTTCTTGATAATGGCCATTCTAACTGGGACTAGGTAGAATCTGTCTTGTTTACCTGTAGATTTGTGGGCATCTTCTAGCTATCATAAATGAATGAATCCATGAAACCTATATTGATCTGAGTCTGCATTTTGTTCTCTATGCTCTTAGTATAATTTTCCCAAGCATTTCATTTTCCTTAAGACTGGTGAAAAGTCATCCTTTCTGATGGGTGAATAGAATTTCAGTGTGTGTGTGTGTGTGTGTGTGTGTGTGTGTGTGTGTGTGTGTGTGTGTTTAAGATGAATAAAGGCCCATGAGTTCACTTGAAAGCCTTCTGTTTCGTCTGTAATTTTGTAATTCCATATTAAATTTGGATTGCTTTCTCTACTGCATTGAATAATATTGTTGGGATTTTGATGAGTATTGCATTGTCAATTGCTTGGGGGCAGTATTGCGGTTGTGTCATGTTAATTCTGTCAACCAGA